TCAAATGAGGGACGGAAGATAAAAAAAATGGAGGAAACGTAGCTGTGGGGTTTGATGGAGTGAGAGGAAAGGCGAAAACATCGCTTGTTTCGAGCGAACGTGTATAGGAGGGGAAAGATGCTTGAGTAGAATTAAGACGAGTTTTAAATGGGATCTATTTAATAATTAGGACTGAAAAGTGTAAAGAGCCGATTATTTGATGGATCCATAGAGATGAGAAGGGTTTTTGTGGAGCGTTGGCGCATTGAAAGGTAAGGTTTTTCCGAAGACAGGGCAAAAGAAGATTGGATAAAATATTTGCCCACAGGAAACCATGGAACAATAAACACAGTTTGAATATTAAAAAACGAAAGAAAATCTGTATATGTACGTGGGTGTATGATGGAGAAAGGGGCGTAGAGAGAGAGAGAGAGAGAGAGAAAGAGGGGAGGTTGAGAGAAAGAAAGAAAGAAGAACAGAAAAAAAAGAGAGAGTAGGTTGAAAGAAAGAAAGAAAGAAAGAAAGAAAGAAAGAAAAAGAAAGAAAGAAAGAAAAGACAGAGAGAGAGAGTGGGGAAGGGAAGAAGATGGCGGGTAAGAGAAAGTGCTTATGACAGAATTAAAATAGAATGAAACATCTGACTTAATAATTGTTTATAATTGGCAGGGGAAATCACACACACACACACACACACAAATACACTAACAGACCCACACACTTATATATATATACATATCTATTCTTTTTATATATTCTTTTTCAAAGGAATTTTTATCCTATATTATTTCTTATGAAAGAAAGAAAGAAAAAATAGAAATAAACAAAGAAAGAAACAATAGAAATAAAGAAAGAAAGAAGAATTAGAAAGAAAGAAACAATAGAAATAAAGAAAAAAGAAAGAAAGAAGAATTAGTAAGAACGAAACCAATAGAAATAAAGAAAGAAATAAAGAAAGAAAGAATAGAAATAAATAAATAAAGAAAGAAGAATTAGAAAGAAACAAACAATAGAAATAAAGAAAGAAAGAAAGAAGAATTACAAATAAATAAATAATAGAAGTAAATAAATAAATAAATAAACAATAGAAATAAATAAAGAAATAAAGAACGAACGAATGAAGCAATAGAAAGTATGAAAGAAAGAAAAATTAGAAAGACAGAATTATAGAAAGAAAAATGAAAAAGAAACAATAGAAATAAAGAAAGAAAGAAGAAAGAAAAATTAGAAAGAAAGAAACAATAGAAATAAATAAAGAAAGAAACGATATAAAGAAAAATTAGAAAGAAAGAAGAGAGAGAGAGAGAGAGAGAGAGAGAGAGAGAGAGCGTGGTGTGAGAAGAAGATGGCAGGTAAAAGAAAGTACTTATTACAAAATTAAAATAGAATGAAACATCTGACTTAATAATTGTATATAATTGGCAGTGGAAACCAAACACACAAATACACAGACACACGCACACACACACTATATATATATATATATATATATATATATATATATATATATATATATATATATTATATATATATATATATATATATATATATATGGTTTAGCAAATTTAGGTAATCCGTATGATATCCTGAGGAAGATGATATCCAGAGAGCTCAATGTAAAATTCAGAGCAGATATGTTTGAATAAAAAGACAGACCACGTTAAGATTCCATGTAATAAGCTATTTCACCATAACCCTTTAACAGGGTTCTGGATCATCAGACTTACTTCAAAAGCTGAAATGAAAAGTGAAAAGAAATTCACACGTTTTTTTACGGACCTCATCTAGTATACGCAAAGTTAACGAAGTGAGGTGGGGAGAGAGGATATGAGTGTGTCATATGTATCATTTTAGTTTCCTATTTTAACCCCAGTGTGTCGGCTGGATGTTGCTCAAATTTAACGCGTCTCGTTTCTAGATAAAGGTGGCTAAGGGGTGAACGATAAGAACTACATTAAAGGAAGACGTTACAACGACCCCAATAAATTACACGACAGGTTTCATTCAAAATCTTAGTAACGCGAACTGACAGAGTCAGTTCGCGTTACTTTAACGTGCATATTTGGGAGGTTAAGGTTTGATAAATATCTAAATTTTAAAACAATCTACGAAGGAATTAATTTGAAATTCGGTGGAGTTTTGGGTATTTTCTATGAAACAGTCGATTGGAAAAATCCATAGACAGAACATTGAAAGAGCAATCCAATATATATATATATATATATTTGATTTTTGTTCATTAAGTAACCTCGTGGTTGTTTTTATGTATCCGATTATCAACAGTTATTCCCATTTAAATAATTTTATTCTCCACACCGGGGTAGTATCTTTCAATCTCAATTAAAATACCAATCTAAATTTTCCCTTCGTGCTATTTAAAATTCACTTCCAATTGGAGAATATTAGAGGAGAAATTTGGAAGAGATGTCACTAGCAGAAAATTAGGCCCTTCTTTTACAATTTCTTATCTACACATGTCTTAACCCCTATTTGTAACCACATACCTATATCTTCTTATATGCCTATGAGTTCCTATATACACCTACACACATTCACACGAAACGATATATGTATATTTCCATCTTTGCACATATACACCTGCAGAGAAAACGCACATCCACATGTCTCCATACCTATCTCCATATATACTTATACTTACATATATACATATATACATAAGGACATCTGCATATCCATATATACTCATATGCACATATATATATTTACACATCCATACGTATACACATATACACATACATACACACACCCACATATGCATACATACATACATAAACATATATACACACACATATGCATATGCATACGCAATATGCAGAATATCTACATACCCACATATGCGTTAATTTGCACTTACATATATCTACCCACGTATTTGTCCCTATCCTCATGTCCACCCGTGCATCCACAAATAAGCTAGTAGATATAAGTCAGTAGAAAACCGGACGAGAAATGCTCTTACCTGAAATCGGTATTTCAAAACTGTAGCTGTCAGACTGGTCCTCTTGGTCGCAAAAGTTTCGGCACACCTTGGATGAAAAAAAAAAGGATATTCTCTGATGGAAAACATGTTTGTAGTTCCGACTACAGGGGATGAGGATTCATAAATAAAATTTACTTTTACTTATCAACCAAAACAAATACTAGAAAAGAATGATAGTATAAAACAGACAATGCAAAGAAAGAATCAAATTTCTAGAAGTTATATAAATGCTGTAGCATCCCTACGGATAATAATGGGTCCCCATTCACATAAATACAGTAATAAAGACACGCGATCTACGGGGAATTTTTGGTGGAGCCCACATTAAATTCGGCTTTGTGCCACCTCTGACCGCGTGGGGCGGTTGGTAGATATTCTGCAGTTGAAGATTCGTCTATAGCTGCGCTGATAAAAAATCTCAGACTCCGGGCAGAGAGGATACCCAGATGAGGCTATGTCGAAGGGCAGAAGTCTCATCTCGGGAAAACAGCTACCCGACCCTATTTTATATGTGGTCTACGGAGAATTTTTGGACGAGTCTATGTACTCGGATACCCCACATTAAATTCGGCCTTGTGCCACGTTTGACCGCGTGTTGGTTGATATCCTTCAGCTGTTAGATACCTTGCAGTTGGATATTCATTGTGAAATTCACTTCACTCACTTCTAGCAGTTGACTACTTCTTCTACGCGCCGTTGGCGAATCCTATATGTGTTGTTCCTGTCCTAAGTATAATCGTTCATTACCAACCTTCGTTTGATTATTCTATTGTATATATATATGCGTATATATCATTTTATAATTCTGTTTTTTTTTCCTTTGTCTTTTAGTCAGCGAGTGCGTTCGTTACACCCTGCCGATACTTCATAAACAATGAATTATTGTTTTGACCACGAGAAAATAAGGAAAAGGATTATCAGAGATGCCGTTTGGGTTTATTGAAAAGAAAGAGAAGATAGAGGAAGCGATAACACTATCACGCGATTAACGTCTGCTTCAATGAAATGGAAAATATTTTCATTTGTACCCCCTTACTTCTTTAAATATCGATCTGCATTCATACTTATCATTGTTATTACAATATTTTGTTAAAGTTTTTAAGCCCAAATATTTAAAGATGAAATGGAAGAATATTCATGGGTATTTTGTAGTTGTGGAACTCACAATGATTTTATTTATTCGTTAACTATTACGATCCAATAGAAAATTGAAATAGGAAAATCATGAAATTTTTGTGGGTATTATTAGTGTTAGATAAAAAATAAAGTGTCGCTACCGACACTTGAGCTTGAACATAGATCGCCAGTGAGCAAAACACAGGCGATCCCATTATTGAATTATGTAGATCACTTGACCATAGCGGTGGTCAGGGCTCAAAGAGTTAAAACATGTGAATTAGTGCATGAAGCTTACCGTCAAAGAATCAGAAAGTTACGGGAAACCGACGGTCAAACTTATCTCGAGTATTCGAATGAAAAAGAAACTTATTTTTAACAGGTGGCGGCCACTCGAAAAATATCGAAGATAACCACGACTAAGCAACTGATTCTAATAGAAAAAAAATAGAGAATGTGTTCCTGAAAACATAAAAATATTCCTTGAGGGAAAAAAATTAGATATTGTATAAGAAATGGCCACTCTTGCAGACAAATGTGTTAACGCATAGACGCAACGGTTCAAAACAGGCTGGAAACCGGCCTGGAAGTGATCTTGGTCCAACATAGGGCTAGTTCGGGTCCGAGTTTTTAGTCGGACCAAACATGCACTTCTAATCGGTCATTTACCTCGTATACATGTGTAAGTATGGGCACTCCGTGGTGGTGTAATGGTTAGCAAGATTGTCTCGGTAGAACAATTACGACTGAGTAGTGATTTCGATCCTCACTGGGTGCCTCATACGTTCGGCCTTGTGCTACATCTAAGCTACGCTTGGAAAATCACTATAACAGTGAATGCTGGGGTACCCCGAGGCGGTGTAATGGTTAGCAAGCTTGTCTCGCTAGAACAATTACGAATGAGTAGTGAGTTCGATCCTCACTGGGTGCCTCATACTTTCGGCCTTGTGCTACATCTAAGCTACACTTGGAAAATCACTATAACAGTGAATGCTCACAATTTTGAGGCGGTGTAATGGTTAGCAAGCTTGTCTCGCTAGAACAATTACGACTGAGTAGTGAGTTCGATCCTCACTGGGTGCTCCATACTTTCGGCCTTGTACCACATCTAAGCTTCGCTTTGGAAAATCGGTATACAATTGCAAGTACGAACTCCATAAATAATTCTCAGTCATGAAGATCTCGGCAAGTAAAGAAATAGGGTCGGAAACTCCCAATGCGCCAATACTGTAATAAAGTTCGGTACATTGTGTCGAATTGTTGGCCCAAACAAAACAAGGAGATCAAAGTATTAAACCAAAATAAACCCCAGGGGTTAATTTCTGTTGTTGAAGATGTGAGGAATACAGGCCATTTGTGTCGGATGAAGATGTTTCGCTTATGCGTGATACATTTTCCCTCAATTTTGTTCATGAAATATATAAAAAAAATAAATATATGGTTATATATCATATATGCATATGTCCAAATCGTTACCGGGTATAATTGTCAAACAGTAACAATATAATTGTCCAAATCGTTTAACAGCATAATTGTCCAAATCATGTAACAGCATAATTGTCCATATCATGTAATAACATAATTGTCCATCACGCAAAATATCTAATATCTAAAAAAAAAAAAAAAAATTAAACTAATTGAGTTTCTTTTTTCCAGTTTTCAGATTAGTCGTTTATTGAATTACACCCGTTTTTTTTTTTTTTTTGTTGCACCCACTGAAGAACTAAACTCTGTTCATTTATATACTGATCACGTGGGGTTCCCTTTCTTCAAAACAGTACTACTTACCCTGTGTAACAGCAAACTTGTCCAACTCGTGTAACAGCATAGGATAATTGTCCATCACACAAAATATTTAATATCCAAAAAAACATTAAACTAATTGAGTTTTTTTCCAGGTTTTCAGATAAGATGTTTAGCCATCTTGACACCATTTGTTGTAAAAATCACTGAAAAACACTTTGAGTTATTCAGCTAGAACAGGTTAAAATCATTTTGTGTCAGCCTCACTATGTCTTCCCAAATGAGCAATGGCGAGAGGAAAAAGGTCATTCTGGCCTTCAGTAATGGTATCAACATTCATACTCTGGCTTCCATCTTCAAAGTCCATTCAAGGACCATCGAGAGAATGGTGAATAAGTTTTTAAAAGAGAGAACAGTAAAAAGGAAAACTGGATAAGGAGGTCATAACAGAAAGAGGAATTAGCTATCCGACTTAGTGCTAAATACATTCTTACTGTTCAAAGTAGAGTCCAATAGCGTTATAAAAAAAAAGAAAAGAATTCCAGTAAGATATCTTTAATCATTTCTAAGATACAACGTTTCAAAGCTTAATCTAACGATTGGACAATTTTGCTGTTACAAGATTTGGGGAATTTTTCTGTTACACACTGTATATGTGCGTGCGTGTGCGTAGATATGCGTGTGGATTTAAAGCGCTATCAAGGGACATCAATAAGTCTGTGTAATAACACAGAAGCATCTATTTCACACGAAATAATTACCTTTAAAACGAGGCCCAATTATCGCGCCGATAACCGCTACCCTACTTCCAAACCAAATGCGTTAAATATTAATTACAAACATCATATAAAAAAGATTCAGATTAAAATCCAGCTAATGGCTTCATGTAGTGGAACAACTATATTGAATCAAGGAAAGTTAGTTCTCTGTGTTGCGCCAGAAGGTTTTTTTTTCACTTGTCTGAGTCCATCCTTCACAAATCTACCATTCGCCCATGCATAAAATGCTGTTGTCATATATGTTCGCCCCCCCCCGCTGTTCATTTCGAGGTTCGCGACAAAATCCAAAGACGAATATGCAATGTGATCGGTCCTGATATGTCATCTCAACTCCAAGCACTTTCTCACAGAGGTGATGTGGCTTGCTTCTGTGTTTTCTGCAAATATTTTTATGGCAACTACTCTGATCAGCTATTTTCACTGGTGCCTCAAACGCATGAATTTAAGCGTGCTACTAGGTTGGCTTCTCGGTCCTGCCCTTTTAGTCGTAAAACAGTTAAATGTAACCGCCTCTTCTACCCCAACAGATTCTTCTCTCGCACTTCCCGACAGTGGAACTTCCTTCCGCTTACTTGCTTCCCTGATAATTACAATCTCGATTCCAGTCACTTTCTCACAGACGTGATCTGGGCTTCTCTCTATCTTTTTCTACAAATATTTTCATGGCATCTGCCCTGATAAGCTATTTTCCCTGGTGCCTCAACTCCATGAATTTAAGCAAGGAAGGTTGGTTCTCTGCGTCGCGCCATAAGGTTTTTTCTTGCCTGAGTCCATCCTTCATATCTGCAAATCTACCATTCACCCTTGCATTGAATACTGCTGCCATATATGGTCTGGCGCCCCTCAAAGTCCTAGACAAAATCCAGAGACGGATATGCAATGTGATAGGTCCTGACCTGGAATCTCGACACCAGTGATTTTCTCACAGACGTGATGTGACTTCCATGTCTTTTCTACAAATATTTTCATGGCAACTTCTCTGACGAGCTATTTTCACTAGTGCCTCAACTGTATGAATTTAAGTAAGCTACTAGGTTGGTATCTCGGCCCCACCCTTTCACTATCGAAACAGTTAAATATAACTGTCTCTTCTAATCCAAAAGCTTCGCTCACACTTCCTGACTGTTGAGATGTTGAGTGTTTCCCCGTGCGTGTATTGAAATAAGGACAAACACATACATAGTGAAAAATACTGGTATATCTGAAGAGATATTTACAACAGAGAGTTTAGTAGTCAAACGAACGCAGGTTAGTCATTAACAATCAGAAAGAGTATAAAGTCCAACTGTATCTTCCGGTAGAGGTCAGACGGAAGTGTGATGGTCACCTGATCTCTCAGAACTCTATAGAACTGTCCTATTAGTAGTGGAGAGATCATTCCATTCTGATGAGAAGGTGGGTGGCCCCAACACTGACAGTAGAACTCCCTTCCTGTTACTTGCTTCCCTGATAACTATAACCTTAAAAATGTAAATGTAATGTCAATCGATATTTTCTGATGCCTTGATCTTGACCCCCGTCCTTCTCATTTTCCTTTCCTCTTTATTCTTACTTTCATTCTCTGTAACCCCTTGGGTGCTAGTGGTATTCCCGCCTTGCTTGGGGTGAAACGCTTAAAAAAAGTCAGTCTACGGACTTATTGATCTAAATGTTGTGTGTATGCGTGTTCTTTTGTTTGTTTGTATGAATGCCTATATATATGCGCGTGGTGGTGTGTGTATGTGTATGTGTTTGCGTGTATGTATGTTTGCATGTATGAGTGTATATATGCTTTGCTATTTGAGTCGTTTTGTGTCATTTTAATTGGCGCGTGTTCTCATTGCGCATGAGCTATTGTCAGTTAACGATGCTCCCATCACAAACAACAATGGCGGATACTACTAGAGGAGAAAATTACTGATGGTTAGCGTGTCGTTTCATTCATTTTGCCTGGCCGTTGCTCTATGAAACCCCCAAAACAGTGGGCTCTTTGAAAGGCTAGGTCGATCTAAGCGCGTAAAAAAGTGATGTGTGTGTGTGGGGGGGGACACAGAAACGGCGAAATTATCCGATTCTTGTCCTTGTGAAATGAAAAGGCAAGAAGAAAAACGAAGGGGAGTGAATAAAGTGGATATAAGAAAGAGTGAGTAATCAGTAAGATAGATAGGTAGATGGATATGAACAGAATGAAATAGATAGATAGATAGATAGATAGATAGATAGATAGATAGATAGATAGATAGATAGTAACTGAATGAGGTAGATAGATAGATAGACGGATAATAAAGAAACTGACATATATTGATAGACAGACAGACAGACAGACGGACAGACAGACAGATAGATAGATAGATAGATATAAATGAATGAGATATAAACAGAATGCGACAGATAGATAGACAATAAGGAAACTGACATAGATAATGGACAGAATGAGATAGATATATAGTAACTGAATGATATATATATATATATATATATATATATATATATATATATATATATAAAGAGAGCGAGAAGATGGACAGAATGAGGTAAATGCAGAGATAAACAGACAGAGAAACAATGAAGTAACTGAGATAGATAGATAGATAGATAGATAGATAATGTGCAGAATGAGATAGGTAGATAGATAGTAACTAAATTATATATATATAGAGAGAGAGAGAAAGAGAGAGAGAATGAGACAGGAGAGAGAGATGAACAGAATGAGATAGATACATAGAGAAACAATGAAGGAACTTACATAGATCGATAGATAGTGAGAGAGAGAGAGGGAGAGAGAGAGAGAGAGAGAGAGAGAGAAAGAATGAGAAAAGAGAGAGATTCGAGTAAGAGTTTAGAAATTAACAAAATATTGATGAAAGATTGGTAAGCTTTCTGATATGTCAACTCTTGTTGGGTTACTTAATGTTGTACAGGGCAGCCAGTGAGGATCGAACTCACTAATAATAATTCACCTGTCTAGTTACAATAACCAATAACCATATGTATATAGAGATAGATAGATAGATAGACAGATAGATAGATAGATAGATATGAACAGTCCGAGATAGATAGATACGTACAGACACAGTTAAATATTTGCGGGAAGAAGAAAAACTGAGGAAAGAAAATTAGATTTTATCTAGGTGCCTCTCTACAAAAATGCAATACATGAGGTTTAAAATTATTTTTTGAAAATGAAAAATCTATTTTGAAGCTTCTATTTCAAGCAAATAGATTAAATTTCATATTCCCAATAAGCAAAATACTTTGCTGTATTTCAAAACTAATTTAAATTGACTGGAAGTAATTTTCCTTTTTAAATCACTAAACATTGCCGATTTTCCCTCCGTTTTTAGTCAACTGTCATCACAATGTAATTCTCTTTCAAAAAACAAAATAAACTTTTCTGTAACTTTAATTGAGGATTATTAGTCGATTTAAAGTTTAATTAATCTGATTTAAAACAAATATTATTTATTTTAACTTTAAAATATCACAGAAATGAACTTTTCTGTAACTTTATTACAAATATTATTGATATTTTATAAATATTAACAAATGTTACTTTTAGTTTAAAATATCTCACACCTTGGACTGACATGCAAATTTTAATTATTTTTTTTCTACGGTGGACATATCAGTAAAAATTTCTTGAGGAATATGTCGTGAGAGCCTTTTTCTATATAGTTTTTAACAATAAAGTAATCTTAAAAAAATTAGGAAAATATTCACTGTAATCTAATGTTTTATTGAATTTTAGTTATTTTGGTTTTCAGTGTACTATAGTTATCGCTCTCATTTTTTGATAATGTCGTGTATGGACGTCCGTATTTAAAAAAATCGGCACGTTTATACACACAATTTTTTTTTTAAATAGATGTTTATCGATGAATCCTAGTAAGTTTTGCATTTATGCTTAGTAAATATAGTTTCTACTTCATAGCAATATCACTTAATCGGTTCAATTTAATACAGAAATTTAAAAGATTTTAAATTTTATAAATTATTCTAATTAAAAGAAAAAAATGAAAACAATTCTTGTAAAAAATTAATTATCTATCAAAATTTTTTTCTTAAGGAAATAGTTTCCATAATATATCTTATTCATAAAAGCAATTAAAAGTTTTTCTAATTAAATACTTTCTTAGTTTTATTGAATTTTTCATTTTACGACTCAGAGCAAATTTTTGGTAAACATGTGTCCTATTTTTAAAAAAAATAAAATAAAAATGATGATTTAAAATCTCTAATGTGTACAGCGTATGACTAAATATAAGCGTAAAGCTGTAAAAAATTTAATTACTCGAAATTTCATAAAATTAAATAAGTAGGGGTAACAGATATAAAACAATGTTTTTTTAAATCAAGATTTTCTAAAAATACATTTCTAAAATAATTTAATTCATTTACCAATAAGACTTAAAGTTTTATTAAAATTCGATAATTGACAAAAATTTCAAATCAATGTGTTTTTCACCATAAAAATGTCATTCCTATACTAATTTATGGTTTCTCATTAACGCAAGAAAAATAAAATTTGTTATCAGAATTTCGAAAGTTCTAGATGGGATTAAAAATATAATTTAATGATTAAAATATCCTTTGGTCTTCTTTATAATAAGGTTAAGATTTTAACAATGAAAATTAGTTTTTATTAAGTTTAGAATAATTTTACATCATGTATGCTCAATTTTAGTGAATCTTTGCAGGTATCAATATATATATATATATATATATATATATATATATATATATATATATATATTATAATTTTTCATATAGACAAAAACAATTTGCTCACGACAGAGATGCAACTTCGCTTCGGTGCATTTAGTTGCACCTCAACTGGTGAGAACTAAAATGGTTACCGAAGTGCAACTCAAAAATGCAAGAAAACTGACATAGTTTAATTAGAAAACTTTTAATTGCTTTTATAAATAAGATTTATTAAGGACTTAAGAAAAAACTTTTACGATGAATTATGAATTTTTAAAAGAATTATTTTCATTTTTTTAAAAATTTTAATTATAATACTTTATTATAATGATTTAAAAAAAAACTTTTAAAATTCTACATTTGTTTAATCTCGTTAAATGATATTAAGTGTAAACTATATTTACTAATCAAAGATTGAAAAAACTGAATACATATAATTTGCACCAAGATTTTTAAAATAATTTTTGATTTTTTTATATATATAAAATATTATGTAATGTTCCGATTTTTGAAAGTAAGGTCGGCCATACATGACATTATCATAAAATAAGAGCGATGACTATAGTAAATTCAAAGTTAAAATTCCTAAAATTAGATTACGGAGAATATATTCCAACATTTTTAAGGTTACCGAGTACTTAAAATTACATAAAAAAGGGGCTCAAGTCATTTTCTTAAATTATGTTTTAACAGATAAAATCTCTGTAGAACAACAATCATTATGTCATAATCTGTCATCGCCTCGTCAGTTACGTAAAACATGGCGATGTCGGTTAAAACACAGCAGCTGTTTGGTGTTAAAAATACGTTTCTGCGATATCTTAAACGTAAAGTAAATTATATTACGATATATATTTTTATATATCAAGAACAATATTGGGTAAATTGTATGATAAAGTGAAAAAAGTTCACTTTTGACGTGTTCCGTCCTTCAGGACTTCATCTGAATAAATTTTATATATATATATATATATATATATATATATATATATATATATATATAGACATTTTTATGTTTATACATTTTTTATAGGTACAGATATTTAAGTAAATGCTCTGTTTATAATAAACAGTATTAACAACATTTTACCGGCCTGAATGTCCGAGAATTTTCCATAGAAAATATGCGCCCTGTTATAAAAATAACATAAATTTTACTTAAATATTTGTATCTATAAAAAGAACGTATAAACATAAAAAAT